ATATTAATTTTGTTATCAATCTGTACATTGCACAATAGTATTCTGTTTATAAGTGAATTGTATTATTTGTTCTGTCTAGTTCCTGATCATTTCCAACAAGGGAAAGACAAACTTTCTACTTTTGCTTTAAAGTTTAAAGATTCCGCTATAGTCGGTGAAGGCATCACATCTCGCCCTTGTTAAGATGGGTTCTTTACTTATTTTTCGACTTTAGGTGCGGGTGGTGAGGTAGAGTTGACAGTGGACGCTACATGTGTTGGTGGTTTTTTTAATTTGACCTAGATGGTTTGCGTTGTGGACAAGGGCGGACCCAAGAAATATTTTCAGTGTAGGCGATATTAGTAAGGGTAAAAATACAGCAACAATGTTATAACACAAAGTGCTATGTAGAGTTGTGAAACCATTATCCATAGCATTACTTCTAAATATCACATTTTGAAAATCAATGCAATGTAAAAACCACTGTGTTTAACAACAAAGAAACCAAATGTCACTAGTCAGATTCTAGTGTTCTACATTTTCCTCCAAAATCAGACGATTTAGACCTAAATCAAGACATGAAAAAATGGAAATTTATAGTCGCTTCAATTGAGAACTCAACCCAACCCATTAAAGATGCATAAAGATTTTTCTAGACTAGAGTTTCAAACTATACTGAAAAATAAACATAAAGGATGAATCTTTCAAAGGAAAATAAATAGAAGTAAGAAATAGAACTGACCTTAGTGAAGAGACATATTTGTTCAGCTATTAACTTTCTACTAAGGAAACAAAAACCAAAAGGGACTTTCCTTCATCGCCTCCTTGTATTCACTTGTGTGTGTATGTATTTACAATGCGTACACAAATTTGAAGTATAAAATAAGGTTTGTGCCCCCAAAATGTGGGAAGTGGACGGAGTCAATTTCCTAATAAAGAAAAATGCATTAAAGGCGAACAGTTGTAGGGCTCTTCTCTATGATATTGCTACTTTTTTCTCTGTCAATTGTTCATATTTCAGATTTATTCACTCAAAACAAAATGTGGGAAGTGGGCTGCTGGCTAATATTCTTAAATGGGATGGCCCAAGTTCAGTGCAGGCATATGCCTTCACTGGGCATTCATTGGGTCCGCCCCTGGTTGTGGATGATGTTTTGATCAAATTTGTTGTTTAGCAGGAGTTTTGGAATAATTGTTGGTATTTTGAAAATAGTGGTGGTGATTTTTATTTATTTTTTAATCTATGGGTTGTTTTCTGATATGTGGTTTGTTGGTGGTTCTTGGTGGTGGTGTAGGCGATCGCTATCAGGTGATGCGCATTTGGATCTTGACGTTGTTTGGAATGGTGTTAATACCAGAGTAGTGGCGATAGAAATCGGGTGTGACCAAGTCTATTTTCATTGTGACTGTCTGTGACTAGATCTATATTAACTGTGACTGTATGACTTTGTTACATCACATATAGTCACAAATTAGACTGATCGGCAACAGACACTCATACTGAAGACAAATTTTGTCGCAGTTAGTCATGTATAACATAGATCCGTGAAGGTAGAATTTATGGTCATGAATTTGAGTTGAAAGTGGTAATTGTGGTGTATTGGAGGTGATGGTGCCAGTGACTAGTGGTAGATTGTGGTGGTGGTCTGCAGTGTGTGCAGATTTGTTTGTGGTGACCATATGTGACCAAATACGTGCTTAATATGATTGGTTGTGACCAATTATATGTTAATTGTGACCGGTTATGACTTGATCACATAACGTCACAGTTAAGATTAATCGATCACAGATAGTTACATTGAAGACAAATTTGTTCATAATTAATCACATATAACACATGTTAGTGACTGGGTTACATACAGATTTATTTTTAATTTTATTACTTACTAAATTTATTTTCATTGATTTGATGTTAGAAATACGAAAGTAGATATTAAATTTTATAAATTTCATAAAGAAAACCATCATTTAAAAAAAAAAAACATTTATGTAAATCCAATATAAAGATATACGATGGAATAGGGATGGCAAAAAAACTCGACAAACCCGATATCCGAGGGGCCCCGCCCCAAACAGGGCAGGGATTACCCGCTTAATTTTGCCCCGGGGCGAGCCGTTTTATATATTTTTTTAGAACTCAATACTTTAAATGAAAATTTTCATCAGTTCTAATAGAAAATGACAACTAAAATTATTTATCTCAATCTAATGAATGAGGACAATAAAATAAATTATCAAAAACTTAAAAAAAATAATAATAATTAGGGTAGTAAACGAGGAAAGGGCATCGTCCCTTCCCGTCCTGTTACCCGTTTAAACCTTACCCGTCTCGTCTCACCCTATTGTCATCCCTACGATAGAAAGACTATCAATGTAAAACTCTATTCACATTCATGATTTTCTGATTTTACATTTTACATAAATAGGGAAATTATATAATGTTCACCCACAATCTGGCAGGACATAAACCAAAAGAAATAGAATCAAGATGCAATCAAAGTCAAATAAATTATCCATTAGAACTTTGACTCTTTTGAGGGTGTCAACGAGTTGAGTTGCGAATCGAAACTTTTTGCTCGAACTTGCCTCGAATAAAAATGGTTCGAATTTTTTTTGCACTAGCCGAGCTGAGCAAAAATTCGACCAAAAAATTTATGCTCGACCCGAGCTTTCTGCTCGAGCCTTAGCGAGCCGAACCGGCCCGATTTTTTAAAAAAAATTAGTAACAAATATAATTTTTTTTAAATAATTTAAAATTTGTGTAATATATACATATTATAAATAATAACTAAATATTAACATATTAAAAAAAATAACAACTTTAAGCCTTTTTTGGGCTTCAAGGGCCAGGCTGAGGCTCGGCTTGATCCCACCGAGCCATGAGCCAGCCCGGCTCGAACTTTTTCCGGGCCAAGCTCAAGCCTTCCAAACCATATTGACATGGCTAGATTCTTCCCGTCAAAAGAAAATTATGTTACTTTGTTGTCTTCCTGGGCACGATTAACAGTGAAATGTACAGCATATATATACATTCAAATTCATCATTCCATTCTGCCAAAATCTAAAGTACTACATAGCAATAAAATTTACACAGGGAAGGGTTTTAGGTGATGATGCGTGGAATATTGCAGAGAAAGTAGCACAGAACTTGGTGCTTGGACAAAAAGATTCAAGCTCAATATTTCTTTGCAAAAACCTCCTGCCATGGTGAAAGAAACCGTTGACACATCAATGCAATTTCAGCCAGAGCATCTTCGACCACGAAGTAAAACCCAAGGGTGTGGTTCTGTGCCTGTCTGCTCTCCAAGAATGAGAGTTGCATTCATAAACAAGCTTCATTTGTTCCTGACAACCAGAGATCAATGGGATAGCATGAACTTATTGACAATTCCAGTAGTTCAGCTAAGAACCACATCTTCATTAAGACCACCATTTGCACCCTCTGCACGGTATCATAAAAAAGATCTGAGCTTCTTTTTCTCTTTCAGAGTACTCTCAAGTATACTGCATACCAAATACGCATTTAGTGTTTAATTATCTTCCTCTCACCTCTTCAACCCAACTTCTTTTGGTCCCTACAGATCCATAGTCCTCAATGATCATGACCCGTATCTGTAATCAGAGTATCGTTAG